ATGCGGGAATTCATTCGGCACGTGACTCTCACGGTGCATTATGGGTATTCCCTAGCTGTTGAGCGTGCACCAGTTGTACACTCGTTTTTGCAGTGCATTGTGGGATTGAATGAGTGCACTCGAGAACGTCCACTATGGTTTAGGACACCACTAAAAATGTCTGTTCCCTCAAATAGTGCCCTATTTAAGGGTATGGGGGCGATTTCGGACACAGCCCTGATAAAGGGGAGCTTGACGAGCTGCAGCAGGTGCTGGTGATCAGTGCTGGGGCTGATGACTATATGGTGACTGTGACTGAGAACAGGTGTGAGCCTGGGAGGATTCTGGGACATGGAGTCCAGAGCTGGTGACTGGTGACAGAGACTCCCTGACATTTAGTACCTAAATGATGCAGTACCTTTTCCTTAGAGTAAAAAAGGGGTAAAGAATGTACAAATGTGTCCCTTTGAGAGTATTGCCCAGCAGTGGCAAGCTTTTGTACCCCTAAAAGGTCTTTTTTTTTCTTTTTCTGAGTGTTCCTCCAACAGCTCAGATATGCATACTTTTTTCCCCTTCCATTGTTGATATTTGAGCTGAAGTTTGTTTCACTGTCAAAAGCCAGTAAGCCATTTATTTTCAAGTCAAATCACACATTTTTATTTATTGCTTTTGTTTACTACATCTAATGAGTTTAAAATCACAAACAAATATTAATGAGTTTCACATTTTACATGCTAAAATATACAACAGTAAAAGGGAGTTCTAATAATTATGTTCCTATGAGTCAGTTGAAAGCTTTCAGGCTTATTATAATCAATCTGGCTTTGAAAGTGTTTTCTCATCTGAGTGAGTCTCATTTGTTGTTCTCTAATGCAGGGCCCCACCCTAATTTGTCTATTTTGCCTCCTTCCTTTATCTATATCTCTCTTGCTTTATTCCTCTCACTTACACTTCAGTTTCTAACTATCAATGTGGACATAAGTATTCCAGAAATAATGCAGCTCCGTCAGAAATTTCTCATCATTCTTGTGTTCTTTGGGATGGTATTGAGTGGGTATGTAATTACTCTTCAGCAATATTAGAAGGTTTGCTTTGTGTTTGGGTTGTGAATTGATGTGATAATAATCAGTGTTGGGAAGGTTACTTTGGAAATATAATAGGTTGCAGATTACAAGTTACCCTATTTAAAAATGTAATAGTAGAGTAACTTTTTCAAATTACTTTAAAGTAATGTAACTGATTACTTTTGATTACTTCTCTAAATTTCTAATGAATGTTTATTTGCAACTGTTAATCATTTTCAAACATTTACACCATGCAGGGTTAACCTTACAGTGGTGCTCAACACTGTCAGACTTTCAAAATCCTTCATCACTTGAATTAAGATTATCAAATTTGAACACATCCACCACAAAATCAGACTTTAGTACCGCCTTTTACTTTGAGATTGATCTGAAGTTCAGTGAGATTTAAAATCATAAGAAATAGTTAAGATAAGAAAGTTAATTGATAAGAAATCTTTGCATAACTACATGAAACACTGCACTTAACAATGGTTTGGAAAAAAAGTTAATAAAAATAATAATAAATAAAAGCATATACATCAACTCAAATACGGTTATCTAATAAGCATGTCCTATTCTGTGTACTAAACTCCTGAAACATTGGTGTCTCTTTGTATATGATATGACGATAGTTTTCTCAAAATAAGTAAAATGCTCATGAAGTGACTCAGAGCAATTCTAGAGATTATGTTTTTGTGTTCATGTACTCATATAT